CATACATCAGTCACTCTCAAATAATGAATAATGGTGAGTAATACAAGTGAATACACTTGATAGCATTCCTGATTTGCTGAAAGCGTTGGTTATATTTGTAGTTGAATGGTCATGAATTGGTCAAAGTAGTCTCCACAGTGTGTGTATTTTTCTTTTTAAAATTAAATACAGCCATAAAACTATCTGCATTGTTCTAAAGGATACAGTCAAATGTTGTATTTTTAAAAGTGAATTAAAATTGAAGCTTAATATATAGGCAAATTTTTTTATATATATATTTTCCTTTATGTATATATGGTAAATATTTAAATGCACTTAAATCTGTTTCAGCAATATTATAATGTGCCATTCATAAAAGATATGTGTACTGTTTCTGAATGATAAATGCAGGGTTAAAGTAAAGTGTTACCTTACAGTTCTTTGTACAGTAGCACGCATAATAGCCTTAACAGTTACCAGTATGCATTACCAATTACTAATATTAAAAAACTCTGGATGTAATAACTTAAATGTACTGTCAGCCTTTAGAAGGTTACAGTTCAGAGTCTTCTTTTGAGCAGTTTCTTAAACTAATCATTGCCATTAAATGTGCCTTTAATGGAAAGCTGGGTGTGTCCCTTGCCACGGCGGCCTCAGGACAGTGTTTACTGGTGGGATTCCATCCCAGGCTGGCAGGGGCAAACAGTATGTGGCTGCTGAGGTCCACAAAATCCACTTAAATGCACATGGAGCTCCCTGATGGGCCAGTCACACTAAACATCCTTGAACCTGCCACTGTAAACTGCCGAACTCTTGTCCCCATGCCATCAAAGGGTCTGAGATGGGGCTTAGCAAAATTTCATAGTTGTCTTTTATGTCATGCATGCATTGAGTATTAATCATGGCTGGATCTGTGCCTAAGAGGCTGATCAAATTTATTGTTTGGCTGCACGGGACAGTAATGGGTGTTTAATTACTCAATAAAAGCCCTTTTATAGATTCCCAGGCCTCCTGTGTGTTGAGCAAATGGTATTGATCTGTCTCCGGGCTGCAACAAGATAGCCTGTGAAGGTGAATTAGATCTGGTACCCTGCTAGCGTTTTCTCATTCATTAGCTGCATTAGACAGAGGGTGGTTAAGACGTAGCATCATTGTTAACACTATAGTCCCAAAGGCTTTTGTGTCTGCCTTGTGTTGTAAAGGTTTGCACATCTCATTTACGCAAGTATGAATTAGATGAACAAAACTAGAGAAATGCATTTCCTGTCATAAATGCGTGTGGATGCTGATATGCTGAAAGATCATCCTGAAAATGCCTGAAATCAATTTCTGAGAAGAAATGGCTGAAGTTCTTTGTTGAATAATCTGAAGGATAAGATGCAATAAATGTCCTTAAAGAGCTGAACATTTTGATACCTGAATGGTTTTTCTAGCTGAAGGTATTAAGGTGGGGGGGCAGCAGATAGCTGAAAGTATGCTGGACTTATAAAGTGCCAAAAAACAGACGGAAGATCCCAGAATAATCAGGAGAAGATAGTGCTTTACAGCATCCACACAATAACATTGACCACTGTGGAAAGTGCTTCAGTGAGAATATACAGCAGTTAAACATTTTCCACAGTGGTTTGTCAGTGGACTAACCACAGCCTAATCCTCAGGACTAAATTTGACAAAACCCTTAGCTGAGCTGTGAGCTGTATTAGTCAGGCTA